CTTGTTAAACTCTGAGTCATACTGGTGGCTCTCAAGATATCTCTGGCAAAAACAAATCGATAGAGAAAAGTGCTCTAGCTGCATTGTTTCTTCGACAATTATAGTGACTGTCGTACTCTCGAAGAGGCGATAATGGCACTTTTGAGCCAATCGAGTAACCAAGTCTATTTGCTACGAACCTACAAGGTAACGCTCGTTTGCCACTTGGCCGGTCTCCTGCTTTTGGCAATATCAACTTATGCTGATTTTTGACGACATGTATTTCTTACTGTAAAATAAAGTCTGCTTAGATTTGTTTATCCCTGCTCCTGCAGACAATTTGCTGTTTTATTAATGTCTCCTAGTAGAAATAATAATTTCTTTTCCTTCTCTATTGATTGCTTTACCGATGAAACACGTGTCGAATAGGTACAGAGACTATTGTTTTTAATACCCTGGACTACAATCAAGAGTTTTCTCAATTTATGTTTTTTCCACAATGTGTTTATCTGTTTTTTATTTGATTTAGTGTAAACATCATCCTATTCTACTATAACTGAGGCATTTTTAGTTCATTGGTTGTTTTATTTATAATCTTTTGCTTGATTATTTAATTTTGTGACACGTTAAAATAAAGTGTTTTTCGTAGTAGCCTGATTTTACAAGGCATCCCGATTTAATACATCCTCAATGTCTTAAGAACATTAGGATGTCTTACTATATGGATTAAAAATGCACTTGATTTACACAAGAAAAGATATCCGAAATGCCTAGGCTCAACATCCACGATGTCTCACAAAGATAATACGGGTGCATAAAACTAGAATCCAGCCGCCTTCGTAGGGTACTATAGCGCGTCTTTTACATGGAAATTTCATCTTACTGATAAAAAATGAAGTCATCTTTAACGTGTCTAAAGTGCATTTTCTTTTCGAAAATGCACCTCTTTTTTGACAGTATAATGATTCAAAACGAAGTTTCATTGTTCCTAACTCAGGCCATATATCGATGACGAATATTAACGAGAGCGAAGTTGATGGTCCTACCGTTCAAACGTCCATGATTAAGCAGGTTCTATAAACTTTAAGTATTCATTTAAATGAAAATGGAAGTACTATTAGGAGAAATTCTCGTCAACGTACAGTAACATGGTTATATCCCTAGTCGTACGCCAAGCACAATTTATCCGAGTACTTACTACCACAGAAACCTCGTCAGCTGCCGCCAAAAAACAAAAACGTAACAGAATCTCCTAACAAATTGTCTAAACTGAAAAATCTATCAACAGCACTGGGTGCGGGTGATTTTTTATTACCGTAGGCATAAATATTCGATAGTTTTTCCACTTTAGAAATTAAGTACAGTTTTATTTTACATGCAGCATGTTCCTCTGCAACTCACAACAAGAGATTTTTGGCGGTAACTATTTCTCTCGCAAGCATCAGTGATGATCCATGTTGTACTGACACTCTTTTTTTTGGCAAATATGTTAATAAAAAATCAAATGTGCAGTGTATACGACGATGAACAACCAATATGATCAACGAACTGTGGTACAATTCAGTGCTTTGGAGACATCGACATTTTGTTTGCTTTAATTTCTTTTTCATACTGTTGTCTAACTGTTTAACTGATGTTTTCTCTCTTATGTTTCCGTTTTTGAACTCCTTGATCCGGCTGGTTGGTTACTATGATTCGGTCGGACAGTCGGTCTTTTTATGGCTGTGTGCTCCGTTAGCTAGGGCGGAAAATAAATATACCCTGAGCAAATACGATAAAATAGTGAAAAAATTTAGATCATCTATAGGAATTTATCCACATATCTAAAACTTGATTATTTGATCAAAGGAAACAAATTAAATATAGAACGTTTATTATTATCGGTTGCATTAAGTATACAAGAATTACTAATAGATTTGTAATTTATTAGCAAGATTAGTGTTGGAACGGAGATATCAAGATAATAATCGTTGGCAAGAAACATGTAAATATCATGGCCCGAAGAGAAAACCGGAAAGCCATGGTAATTCCGAAAGTTCTTTTAAAGTCCACTGTTTTCTTGCTTTCTATGTTCATCTCTATATGCTGGAAGAAGGAAGAACGATCAAAATACAATTCTTCTTCATGAACTCACCGATAGTGTTTCTATCTCTGCAGTTTATAACTTAGTGAGTTCTTTCATCCAGCAAACAAAAAGGTTTGCATAAGGTTATCCTAAATTTTTCCTCTATCAGCGCTTCATACTCTCCCTAAAGTTGAATTTTTTCTTTTCCTGATGCTCTCTCTCTCGTCGCTATCCTGCTTTTTTCCTGATGCAACACAACATTTCTTTTTTATCTTGCTTTTCCTATTGATTCCTCACATTTTGATGTTTTACTTTCTAGCATGCTTAGAAAAACTTTGGTTTCTATTTTCTCCTTCTAGTGTTTTTTCTTGAACATCGTAATGGGACCTGGCCTCGGTTTTGTTCTCTAGTTATATTTTACAGATAAAGGTTATAACAAGGATCAAAATAATGGCTCTTTTTGAAGTTGAACTATACTGCAAGAAACCGTGAAATGTTAACGCGAAGGTCCTCGAGTAAAAATCACAGTTACCTTGGTGAGATCTTCTCGACGGATATTCGTTAAAATTCATAGACATCGCAAAACAAAAATTAGTGCAGGATTCCCAGTACAGTTGACTTTTATTAGCAGGGAAACAAAATTTTTCGCAACCCATGCTCATGATTATTGGCTATCTATGGATGATTCGAATGATATACGAATATCGGGGAAAGGTCTTCAAACAAAAGACTACCTACGTTTGCGAAAACAGGATGTCACTTTGCCCCTTGCCGGTCGTAGTCGAGCTTGCTGAGGGAGGGGGTTGTGATGAAATTCTCTCGTGCTTATCTGGATGTACTCAGAAATCTGAGATAGTCAATTGAGCACGTTAGGTCGTGGCTTATCTTTAATAGCGCTTAAAAATTTCTTACCTAAAACATAGTCTAAAAAAGCTACAAAATAGATATTCTTGAGCTCTACCCAACAGGGGTGTTAATTTAGTTTTATTTTTCATTTATAATAATGGATAAAACTAAATGAATCATTTATACTTAAAAAATAAATATAAATAAATGAAAAAAAAATTACCTTTATTTTATAAAAGTAAATGATTCCTTTATATTTATTTATTTATTTGTACCTTTATTTTTAAAAATAAATAAATAAATAAATAAATATAAAGGAATCATTTACTTTTATAAAATAAAGGTAATTTTTTTTTCATTTATTTATATTTATTTTTTAAGTATAAATGATTCATTTACATTTATTTTCCAAAGTAACACTAAATTAACACCCCTACTACCCAACCATGTATGATTCAACAAGAAAACAAATCTGCTCGACTTTTGCACATCCGACACCTTACAAAATATATCGAGTATCAGCTTAATCCCGAAACTACTAAGAACTGAAGTAAGAATACACGATTCGTTTCTACATACATGACAACTGAAATATGTCTTTTCCTTTTTCCGTTCCTGCTGTTTACCATTAGGTGAATGAGTAAATCTACAATTATAAAACTGCTAATATTATTTTATTAAAAAACCCAATATCTCTCATATTGATAAGAGTAGCAAAAGTTGGAAAGTTGCCAACTTGAGGTTAGCTTTTGCTGCGTAGTTGCTCACTAAAAGTTAGGTCTTCGATTCTCTGTTTTTTTTGTCTGCACTTTCACGTTCTTATGCAGATTATTCAGGTTGTATGTTTTGATCTTACTCATTTCGTTTCTTGTTCCTTTCGGCTACAGTAAAGCAAAAATTGTAAAAATTAGTATCTAACGCTTTTTTCTTAAGAACCTGTTTAAATCATTCAATAATTACATAATTACAAATATTTGAAAATTATTGCTGTTGATGATCTCATCATTAGCAACCATTTTGTGTGCAGTGTACATCAGCCGTCGCGCAGACCATGCTAAATGCAGAAAAAATGTATATGTAGTAAATAAGGATTAATCATCAAACTTTATCAAAAATCAAAAAACTCATAAGTCGAGTTATCAATGGATTTATCATGAATTTCGAGAATCAATGGAAAGTACTGTGGTTTATTAAGTATTTTCCAGAAACCTTTTATGACAAGAGAGCAGTATTATGTTCCTGCTAGAGCACAATCGCCCAGGTGTCTTGGTTTAAATCAGACTGGAGTAGGCGTGCACCATCAGAACTGAAAATGTTGCACAAGTTCTTGAAAATACGTTTGACAAAATACGAAGGAAGCATCTGTTGTTCAATCAACAACCGTTCATCCCGGAAGAAAGACGCACGGTGTACAAAATCAGAAATAAGCTGAATAAGTGGATTCTAACTTTTCATCCTGAAGGAAGAGTTTCCCGAAACTGAGTTTAGCAACAAAAGTATGGCAGATTTAATTAGGTATTTGTAAAAGATGTCATCATCCACCAATATTCACCAACACCCACAAACTGCCTAAAACCATTCTGGATCGATAGAGCACCCCAGATAATCCTACACCAACACCCAGATGGACTGCTGATGCTCTCCACAGTATTTAGGACGCTGAGTTACCTATAGAAACATTGGTACATTACATGTTTAGAGCCTACACCCTTCATCGCGTGCGACTTGATCAATCGAGAATAGGCGTGTTACATGAGAAAGATATTGTGCCGGAAAAAACGCTATCGCATTATTCGCTGCTGATTTAAACTTCGGCAGTTGATTTGCATGTTTATGTTGTAGGCAAACTTGGAATCCAGGCAAAATTAGAATTTCAAGTTTGACTGGGCAAAATTACAATTCTAACTTTGACTAGAGTTTCTTTAGGTTTTCTTTTGGTTTTTTTTTATAAAAGAGAAGTCATATTATCCACAACAAATTCACAAAAAGTTTACTTATTCATAACAGCAGAAAGCAAATCACCATATTTACAATTAATTTGTATTGACGAACATTTTTTTTAATCAAAAACTTTTACACTATGTACACTTTAAGACACATGACACACTCACTAGTCTCCCATATTCTGACAAGCGCCTCTCTTTGAATGACATTTTGTCGAACATGATACATTAGCTTTTTTACATGGACAGTAACAATCACATGCCCTTCCGCTCACTGCGCCACTTACATATAGTTTACATACTTCGATAAACGAAATATCTTTTAATTCATCAACACTAAGTTGTTTTAATTCTTGTGGACAAGCTGATTTTAAATCTACAAGAATTTCAACTGAGAATGCACTCTGTAGTTTACCGTATTGACAAACTAATTTGAAAACAAGATCATCATTTTTTCTGTTTTTTTCAAGAATTAAGCAGGGTAAAAGTTTTGCGTCTGTATTTGTACGATCAATTGTATGGATTTGAACGCCTACACAATCATTTACATCAAACTTTTCCGTTAAATTATTTAAATAAACATGATGCAGTTTAATCTTTTTATTTGCGGTATTTAAGTAATTATTGGTAGCAGTTTTACGTATAAGATCATGGCGTGATGAACTAGAAGAATATACAGAAATATTAGTGTTGGTTGAAACTGGTAATGAATTACCAGAAGAAGCTTGTGTTGTAGAAGAATCAGGATCAAGAGAAGAAGTGATTGGCTGAGAAGCTATAACATCTATACCTGACCATGAAAGAAAACTAGGAGAGGTAATTTCATCTAAAATACTTATTGCGGATTGTGTATAAGGTTCAGATACAGCTGAACGTGAAGAAGCATAGTCGGTATTAGAACATTTTAAAAGCGAATCAACATCCTGAAGACAATCGAGTAAATTATTTCTATTGATATTATGTTCGTTATTAGGATTAAAGATATTTTTTACTAGTAAATCGAAAGAAATAAGATCGTTCATGAATGAGTTATTTACAACAGATGTGGAAGTAAAACCTGCTGTATTAGAATTTGGTATAACAGACCAACTATAGAATTACAAACAACATCATCCGTTAACTTTTCAACAAGTGAAATTACGTCGCTATCCACAAGATCAACCGTATCATCCGTTCGATCAACAACTATACCATCCATATCAGCCACTGGTGTTGGTAAATCATCCCCGTCATCAATGTTATTCTGATCAACAATTTTCTAAAATTCAGAATCCGAGCGAGTTGGCTGACTAAACATGACTTCATATAGTGTTTTCTTTCTGACGTACCAAACTCTTGTGTTAATTCCACAGACCACAGGTAAAAGCTCTTCTAAGCAGTGAATGGTGTTGTTTGTTGTCAACCATTTTCCAAGAGCATCACAAAGTACACCATTTGCTCGTTCGACACAACCTTGACTTTGAGGATGGCGAGGACGTCCTCGTATAAAACAAAGTTCAGGAAGCAATTTTTTTAATTCAGTTAAAACTCTAGCAACAAACTCGTTTCCATTATCACTATGAAGCAATCGTGGTGGACCAAAAACAAAAAATAATTCTCTTAATTTAACAGGAACATCCACAGCTGATTTATTTTTCAAACGAAAAGCCCGGCAAAATTTATTGAAGTGATCAATACAATTTAAAATCCAATTAAAAACAACGTCTTGTTTAATTTTATCTGGTCTAGTACGCATGTCAACTAAATCAATTTGTAACCGTGACATGACATCTAAGGATATTATTGGTTTGGAGACTACATGCTATTTGATTGGTTTTCTAGCTTGGCAAGGTGTACAATCTTTTAAAAAAAATTTCAATAACTGGACGAGGAACCCACGAAGAATTCACTTCACAAAGAGTTTTATCGTGACCACCATGAGAAACTGAGATATGGCATTCGCTATTTACATTGAAGAACGATTCATAAATACAGACAGTTTTTTTGTTTTGACACAATATGCAATATCAATACCTACTATTTTCACCAATAAAAAATTTTGTTTCACCCAAAAAACAAATTTTGGAGAAAATGAACCAGATGTCGTACCTTTTTGTAACAATAATGCTTGCACAATATCCTCACAAACTTTCTTCTTTATTACACATTTTTCTCGAAATTTAACACTTAATGAATCTATATATTTATCAAGATCACTCTATAAAAGAGTTTTTCGATATTATTAGGTTGGACAGTTGTTGTTGTCGTATTACACGCTGTCATTTTTTTATATAGAACAAGTAACATGATCCTAATCAGTTCGCACATTCTATTTATACTATTAGTAGATAATAGTCAACTATACCTAGATTATTTTTTTCTCGAGTTATTCAGTTTACATTTGTACATGAATCAAGCACATGATCAGTTCTTTATACGTGGATTCGTCTACTATTCTTTTTATTTCAATTTCAGTTTCAATATCCTAAACATACGCAATACATCGTCACCCTTGGTCGCTATTTTCGCCTCTTTCCTTATTTCTATAAATACTCATTCGAAGTAAAGTGTGCCCTACTACTTCGACAATCATGCAACCTTTACGCGGTGAAGTGGATAAGTATCCTGTTCAGAAAAATAATTCATTATTCAACAGGAGAAACTAAGAGCATGGTTTTAGCATATATCGTCAATTTCGTGACTTCGTTAGCCGTAATCTCTGTTTTTCCCATTCTAATTCCAATTTTGCCTAAATGCTAATTTTGCCTGACTTAGTCAAACTTAGAATTCTAATTTTGCCTAGGCAAATTCAGAATTTGCCTAGATTCCAAGTTTGCCTACAACATTTACTTTAAAAATGATCTTTAGACTTATCTTTACGTTCAACCCATGCACACCAGAAGCACCTAACGTTTTCTTTACTAGGAAACATTTTGAAGAAAACTGAAGATTTATTTTGTTCAAGATCTATTTCATCTAGTTCACTTGTTTAGTTAGTATGTCACATGCGTTCTGGTTCTTCAGTGTTCGTACGAATATAGATAAAACTAAAGCAAATTGTTTAGTATTTGTAGAAATAAACTAATTTCTCTCAGACGTTTCAATTTATTAGCTAAATTTTCTCCACTGAGATAACATTAAAAAGACATTGTTAAAATTGAGCACATTAAAATCCAAACTAAAATCGTAGTACGTTTGTACATAATACTTTATAAAAGATATTAGTAGTAAGGGTATATGTGCAATGCGACATGATAGAAGAAAATAATTTCGTTATATTCATTTTTTTTTCTGCGTTTAATCAGCATTGCGTTATTATTGTTAACTTGTTCGGCTCGTTCCGCAAAAAGCTGAAACATTCCGAATCTCTGCTTGGAAGCAACTGACCATGAATAAAACGGCGTTTGTGCAGCGTTTAAACGGGATCATTTTTTGCGTTTTGTGTTTGAAAATGCCTTAGCTGCCCATTTATATGTCGCTATGCTGGTATATTTATAATTAGGCAAAAAGATTTATTGTTCACAGTTAACCCGTGTGAACAATAAAGATCCTTCTATTTAATTCTGTTTTAGAGATGCGTTGCAGACAATTTTCTTATCAGCCTTTTGAAAAATTCTGTGAAGTAGCCTAGATGAGATTGTTTTAATTATCCGAAACCGAACAGAACTCGTGAGGGAAGGTCTGAAAACAACGGTTTCTAAGGAACGTCTTTCATGTCAGCTCTCTGATCATTCTTCGATAAAATATAATTTTGTATCATCTGTAGCATTTTGAAAAATTTTTGCAATATGGCGAACTTTTTCCGATTGAGCTACACTTTCATCTTCAACCTTACTTTTATTTTCCAAAAACTGATTTTTTTTTATCTTCCATATAAAACTCACTGTAGTAGCTAGTATTCTTGTATATTAAAAATAAATCAATAAATTATCTATTAGATAATCTATCTGTCTTTTACTAACTATTTTTTACCAACTATATTAGATATTATCTGAATAGATAATATCTAATGTGGTTAGTGTTTGATTCAACAACATTAGTACCTTTTTCTAGTGCCTTAGTTGTAAGGTTGATTACATGTGACGTTTGAGGGTCAGTTTTTCTTTCTACACACAGGAAAAAAAGTTTCTACGATTTCATCATTATTTGTTTCGGCACAGATCATCTTTCTTATTAGAATCACTGAAGTCAATCAAAAAGGATTGTCTGGATTATTCAAATGCATCTTGTCCTGATTATCATGCTTTCTTTTGATAGTATATACGATAAAGTTAGCAAATGTTAACGAGAAAAGAAACCTTATTAATGAAGATAGACAGAAAATCGGAAGTGATCGTGACATCATTTTGTCATAGATGGATACAGAAAATAAACTTGACAGTGCTGGCGGATCCAGAATAGTTGGGGCGGCGTGAAGGTAAAGTTCTCACGTTGTAAGCGGCTGAAGGTACATAAATTTCCCAGCAACACGTTTTGCTAGTGAAAATTGAAAGAAAATAGCAACATGATGACCGCAGATGTCCCCATTGCCCTTGCCCCGCCAGTGCTCATTAGACTTCAAAAAACTATATTTGGTAACTTCTTCAAATCGTCATTTTCCCCATGCAGTCCTGTCATACAGTCATTTTCGATCCCTATTTTCAATCTGTCGGAAGTTTCGTCCCAATTAATACACTTTTTGTCTGATGAAATACATCGACGGTGTTGCTCCGATCAGGAATCTGAGCTTTAAAGATAAGGATTGATAACCAATGTTTTCTATTCCTATATTCCTTCTTCTGATTTTAAACTTTATGTTTTTTCATTAATTAAAATCAATACATAAATAATCAAAACTAAAATCAATATTCATTCCTGGGCGTAGCTTTTCGAGTGTACAGAAAATTTTCATTGTATCAATTTCATTCATCGATATCGATTCAACCAATGTTGAAGTCATTTGTGGTGGAAACATAATCGTCTCATTATACATCACTCGATCAGAATTCATTCCCAAAAATGTGCATTGACTAGTTTCATCGAACGGATATGCCGATGCATTGATAACCAAAGAATGAAAATTAAACGTTGTATTTGGTTCGTGAATGGTCATAACAGCCACCTTCTCAGGATCAATGGGTGCAACAAAAAGATCACCACTGGCAATAGCATATTCTTGAGATATAGTACCTTCAACAGCTACAAAATCTGCTATATTAAAGACAAATAAATCAGGCCAATTCAAACCATGATAACCGTCTGGTATTGACGTTGAATTAAAACCGGCGGTAATCAATAGATCATCAAAAGTGATCAGATGACTGCCAGTAGAACAGTTTCCTAAAACTAAATGCAAGACTACTAAACATCAGCATGTTTCAAGATTCAGACCAGATTTGACAAAAAACGAAGAGCTAAAAAGTAATGTAAGCCGTCGTTTGTTATACGTAAAATTTTATACGGTTAGAACAAAACTGCCCATTTAATTTTTCTCAAAATTCGCCTTCATATTTTAGAAAAATTAAATTTTTCGAAAAGTGTTTGATAAAAATATCCGAATTGGGCTTAAAAGATTGTCGAATTTTTAAGTTCCTGTAAATCTGAGAACTTGGCAGATCCAAGAAAGACCTGCAGCCTCCTTTAATGATGAGTTTTAGCACTTAAAATCGTTAAAAAGTGCAATGAACCGTTGTGAAACAAAAAGCTTTTACTTTTAATAGAATGCACGTTTTGTAGCAAAAAAATTTATATTGAAAGATATTTGTAAGACTGGGTTCAAGGTTCGCCTCGGATGATAGTTTCTGTACCTTTATACTTTTCTCACAATAGATATATAGACGATTCGTCTCGAATAGTGTTTATAAGTTTAGAATATTTTTGGTGCACCGACACTGTCGCGAATTTTCAAAAATAAAAATTTAAAACATTTCTCTCCTTGTTTGAAAAACCAAAAGAATAAATCAGACGGTGCCATCTGCGAATCTACATGCAAGTACACATCTCAATTCAGTTTACCTTTCAATACCCTCACTTGTTGATGCCGCGTCATGCAACTACCTTTACAATAAAACTACTTTTTAGGCACACTCTCATCCTCACTTCCTCCCCCCCGGTACAAATAACTTTGAACGTGTGTTTGTGCCGAAAAAATGTGTAAATTTCTATTACAGAAAATTCGCGGAAGGGTCATGTCACACTCATTTTTCTTCAAGTTTCTTCATTAACCAGAAAATGTTTCTTTTTCTCGAAAGCCAATTTTACCTGTATCTGTTGAGTTTATGGTTATTTCTGTAACTGGTGGAGACGTAGTATCTAAAAAGTACACAAACTCATCGCGAAAGATCTTTATGAATAAAACTAAATCACACCTGTCGTAGCGTTTGTTATATTGGCTAATTCTGTACAGACAACTGAAGTACTAAAAAAGCAGCAGAAGCTGTTCAGAGCCACTTGTTCTTCAAAACATGCTGCTTACTAAGTAAAATTATAAATTTGAAAGTGTGTATCGCTTCCCGACACACTTGAATGTGCTTGACCACCATATGCATTAAAAATAATCGTATCAACATCGAACAGATCGAGTGCTACCATCGATATACTGTTCACTTGTAATGTCACATTTTGCTGATATTTAATCGATCCAGAAGACAGTCCGGTGATACTCAGTTGTAAATCATCATTGAAACGAGCAGAGGCTGTGAAGGACTGAATGGTGATTTCATCTTGAGAATCAATACCAACAGTCAGAGCTTTTCCATATCCATTAACTATCATCGAATATTCATAATAAGCGTTGAGCCAGTTGAAACCTGAATAATTCGATGATAATGGGCCGATAGTTTCGTTGTTGTTGAATAGATCCTTGAATGTCAAAGTCAGATTCTCAGCTTTTTCACAAACTTAAACAGAAAAATAAGTAGAATTTTTACGAGAGGAAGAGGTAAAATCCTTGCCGAAATTTGATTTTGTGACTTGAATAGGTGTTGTGGCAGATGATCCTTAATGAGGAGAAAGAATCTGATATGTTGTTGAAAACCCCCGTCCTTTTACCTGTTGGCAGCGTTGGATTTGTCATTTCGACCGTTATCAATGTTGACGTTGTTTCTGTTGTAAAGGTCGGCGTTGTTTCTATTGTTAAGGTGGGCGTTGTTTCTGTTATCAATGTTGACGTTGTTTCTGTTGTAAAGGTCGGCGTTGTTTCTATTGTTAAGGTGGGCGTTGTTTCTGTTATCAAGGTTGTCGTTGTTTCTGTTTTAACGATGGGGGTTGTTTCATTTGTGAAGGTT